TATGTTTCCATGGCCACATTTCCTCCAAATTAAATTATGTTTGTATTGTGTTTTCTGATCTGAAGCTCATGTGACTGACAGGATGATGGTTTCCAGGGACTCTTTTCTGATCAGCTGTGGATAAGATTTGGTTAGGTTTGGACACAAAAACAACACGGATTGGGTTTAAATTACCTACTTCATAAAGATTATTGGACCTTCATCTTCATGGTTAAAAGAATCCAATGTAGATTCTTGGATAGAAGTCAAAAATCAAGATAGATGTCACATTCATCCACCCCAACCTACCCCTTCTGGATCATCACCCGACTTCCTCCATTGTTCCTGAGGGTCATGGTTCCTACAGACACTAGAGGGTATGCAAGCCCTGACAGGTAAGTAAGGAAAACAATTCCAGCCTGTCACTTGAATGTAAACCTGCTGTTTTTGGGGTATTTGCTGAAACATCTGTTGCTTTAGTTTGTCTTTGGAGGACAGTCTCAAGCATCAGTTACATCACAAAAACCCACCCAGCAATCACCTTGGACGAAGTGGTTCCTCCAGTGGCCACTAGATGTGACTGAAAAGACGAATTCTAACTGTATTAAAGTAAATATGGAGGGAAAAATGAGACAAAACCTTTTCTTTTTAAATACAAATTAAAGACCTATTTTACCAACACGTTAAAGAGTTGATTTTACTTCTTCTTGTTTGTCTTTGTGGTGATAATTAAAAATATTGTTCCCTGTGTTTTAGGGCATATTTGCGTTTAATGACTATCTTTTTTCTGTAGTCCACGTTTATTTGACACAAGAAATTGTGAGACCCTGAAAACAGCTGAAGAACAACTCCGACACATTAAATATCTATAATCACAGACATGTTTCAGGGTCCTTGTTCAGCCGACTTTTTTTCTCCTAGGCTTCTTCTCTGGCTTCTGAGGGTGAAATGAATGGAGCTAAATTCAGAGAAATCCTGCAGTCTGCAAGAAATAACTTGCCATCTGTATCAATAAAACATTACCTATAAATACATATATAGGCACTGGAAATATACTTACTTACTTGATGTTGAAATGCTATGTTTACACAGAGCCTAATATTTGGATTATAATTGGTTTAAAAGCCCACACAGAGTAAAAATGCTCCATATAAACACCCCAATCAGACTAAAGGCCCAAACAGACTGAAATCTCAATTGGTTGCAGAGGTGTAGTTTAGACACTTTTCAGAAACCTATAAAAATAAAAATTGTAGTAAATGATTAAACCTGAACCTAAATTTGCAGACCTCAGCTTACCCTAATGTACTGTAGTGTTGTGGAATGAGATTCACAGACCAACTCAATGGGTGAGACAGATGTTATCAAGCTGTCCATCAGAAAGGATAAACAGCGTGTATTTAACATATGGCGTCCCTTTATTAATTACATTAAGGATTTAGATTTACCAGCAGTGGATGACTAATCTCTGTGAACAATGTGGTTTCTGACCTCGTAGAATTTTGTATTTTTCTTTCAAATATTTGTTTTATTTTGCATCTTTTGCAATTAATATAGTACATTTTGGATAGATTATCGTTTGTTTTAAAGGTTGGAGTGTTATGTTTATTTTGTCCCTTTATTGTTCTTCTTTGTGTAAATACAGCGATCTTATGATTTATTGATTATATGAATGTAAAAGGCTGGTTCATTTTCAAGGTGTTAAAAAATTAAATAAATAATCCAGAAAATGGCGGCTTCCAAGCTGAACTTCATGACTTCTTTCTGTGCTTTAACACCAGATTGTATTAGTCCACATCCCAAGTAAACAATTGACCAGAATTCTTCAATCAGAATGAAAAAGTGACTGACGATGTAACCTTGAACACTTCTCAGCCACATTTAGGATCAAGATTTCTTATAGAATCACCAGAGAAATGTTCACAGTTATGAATGATGAGACAAAAAATGGCGAAATAAAATGAAGAGTTGCATATTTATTCACTAATTGAGCCTCATTTTACACAATTTGATATAATTTGGTGAATGTCGGATGTGGACGCGCCTCCCTCTTTGTGTCACCTGATCGTTCAGGATTCAGAGGTATAAATTAAACTGGGTCCCACACCAGGATTGGCTGGTCTGTGAACGAACAAGCCAGATAATCTGAGAAGCTTCCCGTCAGGTGAACACACACAGTATCCAGGTGCTCTACACACAAACAGGTGTTATTATTGCCTAGGAGTTTTTTTATTTTCTACAGGAATTTACAGCAAAAAAAGACTAACACTGTTGTTGCTAATATTCAAAAAGGTCCTGAAAATCAATTCTAGCACACTTTTTGACAGGTATTAAAAATACACACACCTCCCGCCTCAGCCCGCCCACCTCTCACTCCAGTTTCCAGGGCAACTAAATATCACATCAATAAAAAATAAAAATAAAATACATACGGTGCTTTTTGCATTGGCACAGAACAAAAGCAGTCGGGCAGCAGACGTGGGTCAGTATTTAAAAGTGGCTTTTAGTGGGGGGGTTTAAGCTACGTGGAGAACCAGATGTCATTTTCTGGTATTTGTTTTCTTGTCCATCCCACATGCACAGATGTTTGTAACTGCATTTTAAAATACTGAGACTGAGCACATGTGGTCTGAGTTTCCAAATATGAACTACTTAGACTTCAGTTTCAGCTCATCAACCTGGGGCCCTCAGGATCTCTGCGTCTCTTCATTTCTCACCAACAGACCTTCATTTCTACAGTCGACTTTAGCCTGCTTAGGTGCTTTATAGGTCTGGTTACCTCATATGGAAACAATGACAGGAAAGAAACAAAGTCTAATCAGTCAGGCAATCCCTTCCTACAGTGGCTGAAGTTTACAGAAGGCCTTAATACTGTTCTGGTGATTCTTCTGTAAAGTTAGGAGCTTACGAGAGATACATAAAAATCAAAGACGGGGCAGAAGAGGCTGCTAACTTTTGGTCCCTAACGGGGGTGAAGGTAGGATTCCGACACCTCACAGTCTGTCGTAATGCAATACTCACAGGTCCATATGTTTATTTAAAGCGTTATTGATTGCTGTTATTGTTGGCTCTGAAGAGATTCCTTCTTAAAGCAACTCCAGTGTCCTTTTTTGTGTCGAGTTACATTACAGAGGTCAGATGAAACTAATATGAGGCTTTAGACAAATCAAGCAGGAATGTTCCAACATTAAATCATGAAGTTCCCTCTTTGTGTTTGTTTCTGGCTGAGGAATATAAACACAGAGAAGACAATTCACACTTAAGACTTTAAAAAATGTATCTCCTTATCTTTGATTCAGCTAAACTTTTGAGAATAGTTTTAAGATGGACTTAAAAATGTGAACTTGTCCTTCAAGTAAAAACAGCAACACCACACTCAGAGGTTTCCAATGAAAATGCTAATGCAATTTCTACTATTTTATATACTGTACTGGGCCTGGGTTTTATGAACTGATCCTTTATTTTGAATTTAAAATCTGAATGTACAGCTGACAGATAATATAGTGGAGCTGAAGTATAAAATAAAACACTCAGATTTGTACTTAATACAGTACTTGAGACAGTGTGCAGTCCACCATTGGTCCCAATGGGTCAATAGTTACTTTTGTTAGATGCTTCTTGTCTGGTAAACAAAACCTTTTAGTGTGATTTTTACATAGTTAGTATAGTATAATATATTAATATAGGTGTTTCATGGCTGCTTATATCTCCAAAAACTCTACATTGTGCAGACTGTGCAAGCCTCCAGACTAATTCTGGATTTTGGGATCTATAATTAAAATTGAACTGTTAATTTGACATCACTACATCTGGTTCTCCATGCACATTAAAACAAAGACAAGAAGTAATATTTGTAAGCATCGTGTGGCCCAAATTTGCTTCCAACAGTTTCATCCCAACTTCCCTCTGTCATCCAGGATGAGTGGGACAGTAACAGATAGAAATAAACATTAAAACTATTATTATTTAAAACCTCCCTGACTCTGAAGAGGAACTGTGCCGACTGCTGTCCATAAATGAAGGACCAGGTGGGAAATTTCAGAATAATAAGAATCATACAAAGGATTCATTGTTATTTTTTCTACTGTGCACAAGCTGAAGGTGGCTTCATGTTCATTACCACAAAGCCAAACTCTCCTAAAAAACTGTTAACACTTGGAAAAATATCTACAGTATAGTCATCTAGATTGGATGCTCGTGTAAATATAGAAGTGGGGTATAAACAATGGATTTTATGGAACCAGAAAGGGGAGGGCTGATTGAGAAGCTGCAGTTCATCCACAAGGAGGCAGAAGAAGAAATAAAAGTGCACTGAAAAAAGCAACCAGATTTACAAGCCATTTAATCTTGAATTCAGTCTTAAAATCATACAAAAGGAGTGAAAACGGTCAAAAAGGAGCCACAATTTGACTTGTTTCAGGAATTTTTATCTTGAGAATAGATTGGACTTTGTCAGGATTCCCTCAGCTGTTAGTGAAAGACATTAAGATACAGCAGAATAAATTAAATATTTCACCTTTTCTTTTTCAATAAAGTGAGGACTAAATTACAAGATTAACTGACTTGCAGAGGTGAATATTTTGGGAGGAAGGCAGAAGGAAGGAGGGAGGTGAAAAAGAGGTAAGAAAAGAAAGAGAGTGAAGATATACATGGCAGCTGTAATGATCCACTGTATTAGTTTTATAGGGTGTTATTAAAGCACTACAGACTAGGTGTGTCGGCTGCCTGCCACACATTGGGCTTCATCGTCTCTAATATGCAGCAGTGCGCTACGTTAATGTGTAAGAAATCATTTACACAAACAACGTCCCCCCGCTCTCAGCTATTACATCTGCATAGCAAAAAAAAAGAAGAAGAAAAAACAAATAAATAAAATAACAAACACACAGAAAAAAAAACATAACTGAGCTTTCAAACCATCTTTAACGATAACTCAAACCTTTTTCGGTGGCTACTGTTTTCTTTTCCTCTAAAAGATAATACAGAAGTAGTTTTGATGCAAGATTTGTTATTATTATTACTTTTTTTTTGTTTGTGTTTTGTTTTTTAGAAAAAAATCTGTTTCTTCATGAAGCGCACTTCCTACTTCCTCTTGGTCCGGTGGTGGTGTCTGATTGGCCGGTTAGTCATCATCGTCATCAACCACGGGGTCCGTGTCCCAGCATGTAATGTCAATCTCTGTACGCACACACATAAACACACAAACATGCTTGTTGAGTTAATTTATTCTAGATAACTAAGACATCCTTGATTTCTGGTATGATAATGGTGGTATGTGGCATTATTTTTTTTTTATTATTTCATTGGTTTTATTTCTATTTTTTTTTTATTTCATTATTATTAATTGTATTGTTTTTACCTCCTCTGTTATGCCTGTCCTTAATTCTTATTTTATCTGTCTTGCATGGTTTTTCTTTATTTTTTCTTTATATAAATAAAGTTTATTACTATTATTACAATTATTATTATTATTATAGTGTTTCTGTTTTTTCTACCCTCACTGGACACAATAATTGAAACACCCGTCAGTATACAGCTAAACAGCACCACAAACTACAGCTCCAATATGGCCGCCAAATGGGGGACATGTTACCTGAAAACCCTCTACAATTAAACGTACTGTACATTCTCAAATAAATCCAGGTGTCCAAATACTGGCTGAGCAGGCATTAAATAATAAAGGCCAGTTACTAATAAAACTGGTTACTTTTTGGAGATGATGGACACTTAATAGCGATCCAAAAACCGAGCAAACTTGGAGCGACTAGAAATAATAAGTGAATGAAAACAGGAGTGGTGAGTATAAAATGACTATATTGCCGTATAAATGTACATTATACTATTATAAATAATGAATAACATATCTGATTCAAATAAAAAGGCATTTACAGTCTTCTTTTCAGACAAGTATCTCACCTGGTGGCTTGTTATAAAAGACCGGTGCAGGTTTAGCTGAAGACTCCTCTGATTGGCCAAATTCTTCCTCCTGTGATTGGCTGAAATAGCCCTCGCTCGCCTATAAGAACCAACAGAGAGAAAACAACTATTAACCAACAAAAAGACAGAAAACCTCTTTTTAGTGCACAGCAGCAGCATTAACCTATCTGACCTGAGTCCCTTCTTTCAGCAGCGTCTCCCCATTGGTCATCAGCAGCTGTCCGTCATCCAGCTCCTGCCTCTCGCCGGATGCATGCTGCAGTGCATGCTGGTAGCTGAGGGTCATCTGGTCAGAGGCCGTCACGTCCACCAGACTAGAGGGGTCGTCCTCTGGGGCAGTGCCCGAGCAGAAGGTCCCGTCGATCATATCATCGAAGCTAAGGAGGGGCTGAGGCTTGCCACTGGCAGTGGCGGTGCTGGGTGGGACGTTATCATGATCGCCCATCAGGTCTACCAGATTGGAGGACTGGGACGGGTTAGGGGGAGCGCCGGAACTGCTGTCCCACAGGTTGACCAGGCTGTCTGTCCCGGACTCCCACACAGAGAAGTCGGTGGAGTCGCGGGCCTGCGGGGCGACACTCTGCACAGGCTTGGTGGGTGTCGACTCCTGGACCGGCGGTTTCTGCTCCTGCTTTGGCACCGAATCTGGTGGTAGAAAACAAGCACAACACCAATGTAATAATATTTCCTTATACTTCCTCTTAACCCAGTCCATCACCAGTTGATTTGATGATTTGCAGCTCAAAAGAATGAATAAACATGTACATAACTGGACTAAGTTTGTTGAGGTTGAGTATATTTTAACCTGTTCACTTTCACTCTTACCCCACTCGTCTCTGCAGTCCTCCTCATCCCTGCTGAAGTCTTCTTTGATGGGCGTGGTGACTATTTTAGGAATGGGTGACACGGCGGCCATGTTGCGCTCTGTCCTCGCTTCGTCATCATTGTCCCCTATAGGGACAAAATGGTACAACAACATCGAAAAGGTACAGAACAAAAGTCCTCTGCACATACCTTCTAGAACAACAAAATCACCCTCATTAACCAGATATGTTGAACTAACACAGAACGTTGCGGATTAACTTAAAGGTCATACTGTAATAATGGACATCAATATGTTTTTAAGAAAGGTTTTCTTCATTGAAAGTATAACAGGGATCTTCAGTGCTGTAAAGCTGGCTGATTTTCTAACCTACAGTCACATCCTGTGTTACTTCAACACAATAAATCACAGCAATCACGTCACTTTTGCCATCACACAACCAGCAAACAGACAGATACAGTCACAGAGCCTGTTTTCAGACACCCACATCTCAAATACTGTCGAGCATTTCAAAGGTCCTGTGGAGGATGGACTCCTTAATTGCATTTAAAGTTATATTTTATTTCAATATTTAATCTGTAGTAGATGAAAAAGTATAGAGCAAAATGAAAGACAAAAGTCCCAAAATGACCTTTTGCTCTCTGTAATGTTTGAGTACCAATCTTAGTGGTAAAATACAGCTCGGCTCTAGGAATGGCAATGTCAGTCTGCAGATCAGCTGGTCACCACTTTGGTCCCCAGAGGATGAATCCCAATGACTTTGGTGATCCTTTGACTTTTCATCTAGCGCCACCAACAGGTGCATTTCATTTTACATATCCAGTTAAAAATTTAATTATCAACAAGCTTGATTGGCATTTTGGTACAGACATTCATGGTCCCCAGAAGGTGTATCCTAATGACTTTGGTGATCCTCTGACTTTTCTTCTAACCTTCACTACCAAAAAACTTTTTTTGGCCAAAAAATAACAAACAAATTCTGTCTAGATCCGCAGAACATATATTAGAAATTAATAATTTCTCTGTAGATCAGGCATACTTGGCCAGCAGTGTTGGTTGTGTAAGCAAATTCTTAATTTTCCTTTTCTTGCCTAGTTAGGGAGACTCAAGACTAGTAGCCAGTGTTATTGATGTTCAGCAAAATATAAAGAAAAGGTGCCAACATTTCATACATATTATGCTAAAGCATTTTTTTTTAATTTGGTGTGCGATGGCTACACACTTTTACAATTGAGGAATGTCAGAATCCTTTACAACAATGATAAATGAAAAGGTTAAATTCATTTCCATATAATTATTTTTCAAAGCCACTGGAGAGAGGCTAAAGAGTCACATCCTGCTCCAAAGCCACAGGTTGTCTACCTCTGATCTAGTGCCATCATCAGGTCAAAGTTTTAATTTCTCCAATTTATGTTGGTTTATTACCTAAAAACTAACCACATTTCCTTTAGCCTCAGCTGCCCTTTCTGTTTAGTGCTAATTAGCAGCTGTAAAGATGCTGACATTATACCTCAGCATGTTAACATTTAGCACAAAGTACCTCAGTACAGCCTCACAGAACTGCGAGCTATAAACTCTTGTCTTGTTCAACTCTGTCTTTGGATTGCAGTGTAAGACATAAGTGCAACCAACACGGAGTGGTTGTCATGTGACACTCAATTGATGCCTATAGTACACACTGGACATGTTATACAGACAAAAGAGGTAGTCAAGAGCCTGGGGAGTTGAAGCAAATTGATAAATGGTGGCATATTCCAACAAGTATATGGGTCACCAAAGCCAAGACATAATCACTATAATCCAGCAAGTAATGAAACAGTCATCAGATATCCTCTGAACATTCATCAATAAGCCATCAATGTATATATGAGTCACAGTCACAATGCTGAGACGACGTCCAGGAATACAACTCATTATGACAAACATCAACACAGTGTCAGTTACGGTCATGAGAATCACTTTTCACAATGAAAACGTCACTTTTTCTCAGATGTTCGATGATTTCATGCTTGTTGGAGTCAGACGTCCTGTTCAGAGACCAGAACAAGATTTCCCAGAGGACACGAACACAATAGACCACAGACAAAGAACAACGGAGTCACTTTGACTGGAAACAAACAGCTGACTGAGATGTTAGACCCTGTTAAAAATGACAAATCACATCCAGCTCAGCGGAGGTCTTGCATGGGTGGGTTCTCCAATTCACCTGGTGCTCAAAAACCGCTCTAAACATTGCCAATACCCTTTTTATATTAAAGGAGAATTTAGAGATAGATAGATAGACAGTCAGCTGTCACTAGGGACAGGGATGAACTGGTTCTTTGCCCACCCTGCATAATATCTGCCTTCACAGCACCTACATACATGCAACAACACACGCTGTGGATCATAAAGGTGGTCTGCATGATTTTGCCCAGTTACTACATTATTGCTATCCATATCCTAAAGTGTTGATTCTCCCCAAAACAACTAATGTTCTGCCTTCCCTTTAGTGGTGTCTATCCATGCAGATACTTTTGGTTTGTCCACGTTTTGAGATATGTGAGATTTCTGCCTCCACCCCGATACAATGGAGATAAATGGGCTTTTGTGTCTGTGGTGCTCTCAGCATTGATCAAAGTGACATTTCTGAAATTCAACTTTGAATTGCAATATGAATTATGATTAATGTGGGAATGATAATTTTTGCAACATAAATTCAATTTTCACTGAAAAAAGTATTAGTATTTTTGTCACACAAGTCTCCATGCCCGCCTCCTGCTACACCATGAATATTTCTCTAGAGCTGTCCCTGTGTCTGCATGGACAGATACTACGAGAGATCAGTAAGGCTATATACTTTTTTGTGAACTGACCCTTAAAACTAACAAACATTTAGTTGCCTTGATGTTATTGAGAGAATAACTGTTCAGAAAACTTGTCTTGGTTGATGCATTTAGGGTATTTAAAACATCGGATATTTGCCTTTTTCTTTTTTTACAATGTCCTTGTTTTTGGTTTGTCTGCTGGATAACTTTAAAAAGTTTCTTAAAAGGAAGGTAGGCAGTACTTTCAGGTGTTTGATACTTACTTTTAATGGGCTAAAACATACAAAATCACCATTATGGTCTTCAAACAGAATGACAACTAGATCAACTCCACAGAGGTCAAAGTGCAAAGATCCATATTCAGTCAAAGGCCCACAAACAGCGGTGGCGACTGATGGACGGTTCGAGGACGTCACACACACACACACTCACACACACACACATTTATACACAAACACTCACAGGTCGATCAGTCGGTCAGGGTTAAAAGCAGCAGGAGGAAGTATGTGTATGGGTGTTTGTTTGCAGGGAAGTGATGCAGTCCAGGATCAGAGGCAAGAGATTGAGGATCAGAAGAGGAGGGAGGTGAGAGAAAACCAATGAGGTTCTGTAGTTAAAGTAACAGTTCTTCATCCCTGAGAGAAGTAAAGTCACCTTGTTGCTAATATGAACCATAAAACATCAGAAAGAAACAGCTGACTGGACAACATCTAAAGGATGAAGACTGACGTGGCGACAGACTCAACATCTATCACACAAACCGACAAACAGCTTTATGGTTTACAGCCATAAAAATACATTTTATAATTGAGTCGCAGTTAGTGAAATGCTTGTGCGTGTGTTAGCCTGTTTACTTAGTAAGGAAGGTTACAAGCTAAAAAGCAGGTGAGCCAAAACTGTGTTATGGTTTAAAAGTGACTACCATGGCTAAGAACAACAGAACAGTTTAAGGCTTTAAATGGTTTTGTTTTTAATATCCTATAGGTAGAACACAATACAGACACAGATAGCATCCCTGCTAAAAATGCATGGATTCATTAAAAACACAATAAAAGTTGGACTTAGTTTCCTTACTTGATATTAAGGATTTTTGCTCTTTTATTACTGAATTACTTACAGTTATTTGGTTTTCAGTGTTTGATAAAGTTGCTACTGCTAAATGCTACATATTTTAATTATTTTATATTTTTCTCATAGTCAACAAATCCCATGAAAGGACCAAAACCCACAATGTAAATCTTTAAAAGCACCTCACAAATATATAGTGCAATGGAGCTCTATGGTACAGAGGAAGAAGATACACACAAGATACTTGTTAATAGTATACATTTATTGTTGGTTTGGGTCTTTTTAAGGGACTTGTTGACAAGAAGAAGACTACAAAATATCACTTCCAGAATTTCAAATATGAAAATCACCTGCTTTAAATTAACATAAATAAGTCGAAGGGGATGAAAGTTGTCGTTCAGTGTTGGGGAACGGAGGGCAGGGTAGGGGGTGAATTCGGTGAGAGGAGGTGAGGTGGTTTTAAGGGTTGGTGCGCAGATGTGTGGCTTGTGAAAGTGTGTGTGTGCTAATTTGAGTGAATTATGGAAATGAAATACTAAAACTGAGATTATAAAATTGCATGTGGACTGAAAAAGTGGTAAACCGAGTTTGTCGGAGAGGCATCACTGCTGTCTTTTCCTCACTGGCACTGTTGAGCTTACTGATTGCCGGTCTCTCAAGACAGATGGTACAACAATTTGAAAATGTGCCCACCTCCTTTATTGAGTCCATTTTTGATGTTTAGTTCTGTTATTTTATACTAGAAACTGACAAAGTATCATCAGATCTGACCAGCTAACATCAAATTTCGCCTCTGTTTCTGTCTTCTTCAATGTTGGAAGGAAGTCTTTCTGTTACAGAATAACAGTTACATTTCCTTGTGGAAATACAACTGTCACACTGATTTCTGATGAATCAAAATACTTCTCAACTAAAAGGGCTTTTCAAGAAGTCCTGTAGTAGTCCTGTAACGTTCTTGTCCCAAATTTAAAGTGGAATTTTTTTGTTCATTTTCTCTCTGTGGAGGTTTATCTGCACACTAGTACCCCGATGTGATCAGGTTTTTGGAGTTTTCTGGTTGTGTTTGTGCATGTAAGCTTTATATGATGATTTTGTAAACTTGAGTAAGACCTTATTCTGGTTTTGAGAAACAATGGGCCTCATGTAAGAACATTTTTATGTTCTTATCCTCTTTTAAACTTCTTTTACTTTTTTCTGAGAGGTTTGCTGGTGGGTGTTTAAGTCAATTCATCAAATTCTAATGTAGGGGATATTCTTTTTTCTTGTTGCTTTGGCTGGATTTGGAGCAAAGAAACCAAATCACGTACGAAGATAATGTTATAATCATGTACACAAGAAGAAGAATAAAAACATTACTTGTGTTTTATGTCAACATGAAGTATTGAACATGATCAAAACCAGAATAAGACTCAAAACTGGGATATTAGTGTGCATGTAAATGTTCCCTGTGTATTTAATCGCTCACATTTTTAATTCACATGCAGTTTCATTCTCCTTTAGTGTTTCAACTTCAGCCTCCATATTTGTGGAGGGGATTTGTGTCTGGGGAGAGATGTTCGAAACAAGCTGCTAGTGTCCATCGGTCTTCTTCTTCTGCTGTTTATCGGTTATGTGCTGTACCTACCGGCGTAGCAGCGGGCTGCGTCCGTGCGTGTGGCGGGGTACGGAGGGGCGACGTGCGCCAGGGTGGGGGAGTCGGACTGGGGCTGCTGGGACTGTGCTGCTGCCTCAAGAACGGGCTGTCCAAACGGCCTGGCGGTCGGGGGACGACACACAGCCACACACAGCCGATCACGAAGATTTAAACACAAACATGTAACAAAAGACACGAAGCGACGCACCAGGACAGAGAGATGTGGAGAAGATGGACGAGACAGGAAGTCAAGACAGACAAAAAGCAAAAGAGGGAGGGAGAATAGAAATAAGGAATGCAGGAGAGGTCAGAGTCAAGACATAAGAAGTTCAGCCCCAGAGGAAAAAGTGAGAAGCAGAGAGGATTGTGGGAAAAGCCGAGAGTCCCGTGGAAAGCCATAAAGAAGAAAAAGACACGTGGAGGAGGAAATGAAAGAAATGTTTACCGCAAAATGTCACAAAATGGAGAAATCAAAGATGGAAAAGAGTGGAGGAATGGGTGAACAAATAAATGAAGAAGTGAGGCGAAATGAGGTGGAATGAGGATGATGAACACAAATGTTGGGTCAAATGAGTGCAGAAGAAACCTCGCATGGAAGGAAAAAAGAAAGACAGAAGGAAAGAAGAGAGAAAGAAAGAAAAGCAGTTAGTGTGGCTTTAAACACACTGACTGACAGCATGCAGTTAGGCAGAAATGAAACGCTGACAGAGTTTGTTGTTGTTTTTTCATCCTCACGTGTCTAACTTACATTTTTCCTGTGTATTCATGTTTCTCAATAATGAATCCCAGAAAAGAAAAACATAATTTTGTGTCTCTGAAAACTCTGTAAATATTGGTGATCGGACGACATGAATCTCCTGCTTCTTTGCTTGTTAGCAAATTACACATTATGATGAAATTGTTTTTCCAAAATTATAATAATCTCATGTAAATGGCTCAATGATTAATGCACCAACAATACCTAATACTTAATACTTCATATTTAGTTTCCCTAACAGAAACCTGATCATGTTTTTTACTGCATTCTGTTCAATTGTAGCATACTTTTAAATATTAACTGTAAATCAAGCTGTTGCCGGAATGATTCCTCATTCAGTGGCCTCATTCAAATTAAGGCCACATGCTCGGTCCAAACACAGCCTTCGGGCAACTTTTACATAGAGTATAGGGAAGAACTACATCTACTTCAAACTGCATGGAAGCAGGAACAACAACTCCTGTAGTATATACTGTATAAAAACTGATATGTAGCCTGAGAGGCAAAATCCAGGGCAAAGAAAGTCTGTATACTACAGCAGACAGTCAGAGGACTGTTTGATTTTAGTGAGAAAATCATCAAAAAAATGTAAAAGTGGAGTAAGAAATATATGAAGGGGACATGTTCCAACCTTCCCCAGTGGACATTACATCCTCTCTTTTTGAAGCAGGGTCGTGACAAACACTTACGCTACAGACAAACAGCGTACAACAATGCAAGTATGCAAATTAAAAAATCAAAATCACATGGAAAAGCAAAAGCCATCCAACGGTAAGAGAAGAGATTGTCTGGTGGTTTTACAGTGTGGACTCCTGTGATTCCAGTGTGAAAAGATGTGAACTCTTTCCTCTTGGTAATAAATTATTTTTCAAACACATTTTTAAATACATGATAAATCTTAATCTCTGCAAATTAAACATTTAAGTTCTGGTTCTACGTAAGCAGCAGCGGAGGAGATGTTGGATGTGATTAATGTCATATTGACACATAATGATTCAGATGACATCTCACACCCACTCCCTTCCTCCACAACTGGAGGCTCCTTCAGGTGCTTCATCTCTCCATCACAGACTTCACACTCAGCCAGGACAGGAAACTGATGTGCCTAATGCCTGCAGACTGACTCAATCTCTTCTTTCAGCTGGGTATCGCTTGCCAGAAGTGGAGAGTACTGTACATTTACTGTACACAAGTACTGTATGTGAGTACAATTTTCAGGAACTTGTACTTCTTATCAATAAATGCCACTTTATACTTTAACTCTACTACAATTCAGAGATATCAGACCAGTGGTTCTCAATATCTTCGGTTAGTAGTTGTCTGTCCTTCTGCCCCATGTCTGTCAACAGTTCCACCAAAGAAAGAAACATTTCAGAGCAAAAAAAATAAATATAAAAGTATATCAGAACTTTTCTTATTCCTTCCATTAATAGTCTGACGACCCCTCAGATTTGTCTGGTGACCCTTCAGAGGGTTCCGACCCGTTGGTTGGGAACTACTGGTCTAAATGAACTGTATAAAAAAGCAGTTAGCTCTACCTTGAGCAGCTACCACAGTAAAATGCTGCACCATGTTGGAGGTAGATGTTTTGTTTTTATTGCAACTGCATTTGCAAGAATTTAACAGTAAAAATGTGCACTGTGCTCTGTCGTGTCGCCTCAAACTGACAGGCACAAATGGGCAAACCGGTAAAATGCATTTTAAAAAATTGTATTTTGTAATTAAAATAGGATGTAAAAACTCTGTCCTGTTTTTAAAACTTTTTTAAGACTGTGAATGGAAAGATGAACACAGCTTTACTGGTTTGATTTAATCTTTTTGCTTAATTGAGTCCACTGTATGTACACACTGTATATTTTAGTAAAAATATAAATAATATAATATAAATAAATCAATTAATTACAGTCCTCTCTGCTGTCATCTGTCTTTTTCTGCTTTCATGGTCAGTGTTTACATGAGAATAAACTGAACCTGAAAGATAATTGTTATGTGAGTATTAAAGTCTTTACCGGTCCTGTGGACGGAGATGGGCGAGGTGTCGATACTGATGGTCATGGCTCTCTCCTTCAGCTTGAAAAACTCTCGTGGATTTCCTGACCGCTGAGCGATGATGGCCTTCGCCTCCTGGAAACACACACACACACATAATGTAAATATTTGTTTATAACTGGTTTGAGCATGCATTTGGGCAGCTAATAAAATATTCTGGGTAATAAGCCAATAAAATACTGTTACTGAACATAATACTGATAATTCCAGTCCCAGAAACTGGCTGATCCAAGTCATAAATTAAAACTATTGGGTGGTGACAGCATTTGTACCATCCTTTCACTAATTCCTTAAAACCCCATTTTATAAATGTGTTTGGGTGGATTAATGACCTTATATAAATATATAATATTTATTTCCATTAATTTCTCTGACTTGTACTTGTTTTTCACTTTAGCTTTTGTTGATTTAGATAAAGACTCACCTCCACCTCTGAATCCTTCTTGTCCAGGTTGAGGTCCTCGATGCTCGCCTCTGCTGCCTGCAGAGATAAAAGAATACAGATTTAAAAAAAACTTGTTGCTAAGCTGTAATTTAATGATTTGAAACCTAAAGCATGGAAAAAGCAGATCATAAGGATTTTCCAGGAATGTTCTGACTTTCTGAAGGGAGAGCTCACACGAAGCCGCCAGCGAGGGGCGATAGAGAGTTTATCACTAGACAACACATCCAGGAACAAAGATCAACACCACAGAGGAAATAGTAGTAGTAATCGTGTTCACTAAAGGGAAAATGAAAGAAAGAATTATGCTTTTTTGGAGCAGTTTCTACAAATGAATGGTTTTCTGGCAGATATTTTGTTGTGAAGTTTAAGCAGGGCACATTTTTAAATCATTATGGGTACATTCAGAGCTCTGAGGTGATCTAACAGGTGTAGAGTTGGTGGAACAGCCTTTCTGAGCACATTTTATAAGACTATCATTTGTTTAATGCCACATACAGTAAATGAAAAACAATACTTGTTTCTTGATCAAATGGAAGTATGATTGTAAACCAGTCAGAACAATGTGGCCTAGAATTATTTATTATAACATCACATATTGTCAGTACTTCTCAGCAATATATGACAATAGGAAAACACATGAAGAGTTAAATATGATGTTCCGTTGAGAATTTGCTTCTTTTCCTTTTTATTAATTGAATATTTTTAAGTTTGCACGATTGGGAGGCTAAAACAAGCATTGTGAAGGTGTCACTTTAGGGTCTGGATAATTGTGACAGCATTTTTTACTATTTTCAGAATTTTTACAAACCACACAATCAATCGATTAATGGAGAGAAGAAATTGTTTATCATTAGTTACAGTCCTTTAGGAAATGAGTTCCACCTAAACCAACTACAACAGTACAATCCTGCCTTACATTAATGCACGAGTGATAATAATGATCTAATGATATATAATATTACAGTACAGTAATATAACAGTCACAGTCTGGATTGAGTGCTTTTACTTAGTATTTTTAGTGTGGTATTAGTACTTTTACTCAAGCAAAGGATCTGAATACTTGCTCCATTGCTCAAAACCTATTTAGTAGTTTTATAGTTTAACTGAGTTTCTGGACAAACAGTTTCATGTTTAACCAAAAAGACAAAGCTGTATAATATCAGTTAGACACTTTGCTCTCTTGTTGCAGTGCCTCTGGAAAAGGATTACGGCTCCTCTGGGTGTTATTATTTGGGGAAGCAGCCCAGTCGTTGACAACCTGCTGGTTTCTCCCCCACTTCCATCAGTAACAAACGGTTCCTAAAGCGCCTTGAGCAAGGCAATATAACTGCTGTATATGAAGTCGCCAGCAGGACAGATGTTCAGAGATTAGATGAAATATTTGCTGCTGTGCTACGACGCAGCAGGCAGTTGATTGCAAGATGTTCTAATAGTTCTGGGTTTGCTTGTGGACTGAATAAACTGTCAAAAGTGTAAAATAAAAAGTAAATTCATGGACAGCGTATAATCACTCTCTTTTTAAAAACAAACCCCACTGTCACACAAATTGACTTCATTTTTTGGTAGCAGTGTGATTCTGGCACAAAAACCGGAGGCTTGCAAACGACATCTTCGTGGTAGTTTGGGAAGGGAAGTGATGGTCTGATTGGCCGAGAGAGCAGAAATAGAAACAATCAACTCAAAACACACCTGAACAACACTTCGTACACAGAGAAGTGAGACTCCAGGAGTGATGTGTTTCACTTCCTTTGCTATCCACACAAGTAAGGAAGTATTTATTTGTGCCATTGAGACAGATGAGCAGGAGAAACACTTTTTTACTGCAATGAATGATTAATGAGCAGCAGAGTCATAATAATATTATTATATTGTATATAACTATTCATATCTACCCTTATTGTTTATTTTATGTATTACCATTTAATTTATACACATTATTTTGCACTCTTTGCTCTTCTGGTTAGAAACTTACGATCGTGGTCTGGTTCCGCAACCTCTCTCTGGCCTCTTCCTCCTCCAGCAGTTTCTTCCTATTGTCACACACATAAACACACGCATTAGATGATACTTTACACTCTTGATACCTGGGAAACATCTGATTTTTTTCCACAGCAAAGTTACACCCGTGTATCATGAACAGAAGCCCCACAGAAAATGAAAAGTGATGATGATGCGAACATGTGTCAGACCCAAACCAGGGTTAAACTCATCCTGAACTTAAAATGAAGAAGGGACTGTTAAAAATTCTCTGCACATGTTACTTCTGAAATTTGTTTTTCATTTATCAGTATGACTTTGAGTGTTTAGTGTATCTGTTCCTCACCTGTGCTCCTCGATCTGCCTTTCCCTCTCACGGTACCTCTTCTCTCGGTTCTCCTGCTCTTTCCTCTCCAGCTCCATCCGCTCCTCCTCGTAGCGCTGCCGCTCCTCTGCAGCCTTCTTCTTCTCCTCCTCCTTCCGTATCTCCTCCTCACGCTGGAGAGAAAAAACAAAGAAAAAACGAGACATAAGTCAGCTGAAATGCCCATGGTGATGCCTTCAGGTGATGCTGGGAACAGATAATTGGCATTTTTGTATCTTCTATGAAAGGGGGCTTTTTTATACACATGTATGTATGTTTTTTGGTGGACTACCTGATTAATCTTGTTCTGATACTGAATCTTGCTGTTCAACTTGATATCTACAGTTTCAGAATCTCTGAAGCTGTGAAGGGCAGATCCAGTGGACACCCTGCAGCTCCATGAAGCACGCTGTCATTTTGCATTTTGTTCGAACGTGCTGAAGGCAACACAGCTGGAGGACGCAGTCGTTTGACTTTGTTCTTCACTTCCACTCGACTCCAAACACAACTTGGATTCTTATTAACTGTTTTTATACAACACTAATTAAGTAATAACTTGTAATAATCAGAATTATCCTTTAACTTCGCTAGTTTATGATGCAAGATTAAACTGTTTATTTCCTTCCTTCATATATCTTATTTTTTGTCCTCTCACTCCCTCCCTCTTTGCTATTCCACACCTACCTTGGCCTGCTCCCAAAACTCCTCTCTATTGATTTTCTTCATCTCCACCTCGGCATTGGTCTTCTCGTACACTGTGCCCTGCATCAGGAGAGGAAGAGGGTAGAGAGACATAAAGAGAGAGAGAGAGAGATTGAGTTTCTTTAGTCATTAGAATTCATGGCACAGTGTGTGTGACAATGTGTGTGCATGTCTGTCTTTATGTGTATAAATTACCTTTATGTTCTCTGTCTTATAAACACACTAAAGCCAGTATACAGATACATGCTGTTCTGTGTACTGTGAATACTCTGATTAAGATAATAGATGCCTGGAGATCCCAAAGTATCGAGAGATACTAAATATGAGAATTTTGATAAAATGTGTGTAAAAATGATATTTAAATCTTTGGTTGCAATAAGCTGGAACAAGCGGATACAAAATATATGTGTGATACTGTAATGCAGTGGTGAATTTTAAAGCTACAGAATTTAAGACGACTAGAGCTGAAAGATTGGACAAAAATATCTAAAACTTGATGGAAAAAGTGATGGAAAACTTACAACTAAAAAGTAAAGAAATATAACAATTAAGCCCTCATTTACTAGTATATTACATCAAAGGTATTGACATTACTCCAGGTTAAAATGATTATGACATTCAAATGTTAAAGCACCAGAAAAGCCAGTTATGATAGTAATGACGAAGGCTACGTTCACACTGCAGGCACAAGTGGCCCAAATCTGATTTATTTTTGTGACTCAGATCTGTTTTATTCATAACAGTGTGAACAGCACAAATCACATGTAATCTGATCTTTTCAATTCAGATACAGGCCTGATATTTTGCAATGGGACCTCAGTGTGAACAGTCATATCAAAAT